CAGGCCCACTAACCCGCCTAGGACAAGATCCAGCTCAACAAACTAGACATGGATTTTCTCTTGGAGTTACTCCAACAAGTCCCACCAGAACACCCAAATTTAGGCTGCGTTCTCTTCCAAGAATGTCACCATTTACCTAACAGGACTGCCACAAAAAAACACACACACCCCAAGCAGCTCCTTGGAGACCTCCAGATAGCCTCAGCCACACAGCAGCTTGCCTAAGTGGTTCGAAGCCAATGCTGGTACTCAGGGTGCCTTAGTGGCTCCTTCTTTAGCTCCTCCATGGCATGATTGGGATAGAAGAATCCAGCATGCCCTGTATCCTGTAGCAACTGCAGGACAGATGCAGGAGGCAGGGCTTGCTCTGTTTCCAGCCCCTAGATTGGAAAAGCTGATTGCCCAAAGCTGCTTTTGAAGGTGATAGAATCATGCTTTTGGAACAGACTCCAACCTACCTTTGCTGCCTTTTGTAAAATCAAGTGGCTGAAGGATGGCAGGTATACCCCTCGAGCCCAAGGCAGTTTGACCTGCTTTGTTGGTGGGGAGATGTCTTTGGTGTACACAGCAGGAACTTCCCCTTGTACTTCCTCTCCCAGTACCACGATGGGCAGGCTGCGGGACAGAGATGCACCTGACCCTCTAACCAGGTGCACCTTTAACATCTATCAAAAAGAACCGAGAGGGCCCATGGCCAACACGGCTTTGGTCAGCACACAACCCCCCACCACTCGCAACTCCTCTATAGCAGGATACCTGCCTGGGTTGCCTCAGCAGTCTTGATGATAAAAGACATACAGCAGGTGGTCTGAGAAGGCACTCTACACCCAGTAAGGACTATCAGGACAGTTGGCCAAAGAAGCAGCTGGTGATTCACTCCTTCCAGGAAGTGGTAGACCACAGACAGCGCCCCTTGTTCTGCCTCCGCAAGGAAGTAAGCAGTCTTTCTTGTTTAAAAATATCTCCAGAGAATTGCACTCTTCCCCCTGGCAACCAATCTCAGATTGTTACATGCCCCCTTTTATTCCGGAAACTTCATTTTTCCTCTAACATCTTCCAACCCTGCAGAAAGAGAAATATCTGGCATTTGAGGAAAGCTTGTGAATAGTGGCTTTTTGTTAATTTTCTTAGAGACCTATATGGAGTAGATATCACCAGTTGTATAGTTCAGATTAGCTAAGGGTCTAAAAGCTTGGGGGAGTGATGTGGAAAGATTGTACACTGCAGTATAATGCCAGCAGAGGTACAAGGTGTTACCCAGTCTCGGGGCTGGGGCAGTACCTGTTGCCCCCTCACGCAGCAGACAGCATGCGTGCTCTCCTTGTGGATTCCCTGGAACACACCACAGGGGTAGGGGTTTCTCTCCCATCCCATGCATGGGCCAGGAAAGGCAGCAAGGGACTCCTCCTAGAGTGACTGCCGGAGAAAAGGGAGGAACCCACAGAACCCCTCGGTTTCATACCTTGCGGAAAAGCATGGCTTCTTGTATCATCCTTTTAAAGTTTAATTCAAAAGGGATGTGCTGGCCCTCTGTGAGTTCCTCCAGGAATAAATGCTAGAGGGAAGACACTTGCGAGAGACAGTCACACACATGAGAAAGCCATGGTGAAACACAGCAGGAAAATGTGGTTCCAACTACAAAGATCATAGAGAGACGTAAGAGGCAGGCTCTGTACCACCTTTCAAGCATGCTCAGGCCCCCTGCTCTACTCTCTGTTCAGGCCGATGAACCCCAATATGAAGCCAGGCTGCTTCATCATGGTGGTCATCTAATATGGCTGAAGACCTCAAGAAGCACAGAGCCCGTGAGACCTGTGTGCGTGCTTTTTTTCTCCCCATTGCCTAATGGAGTAAGGAACACAAGCAACAGAAAGGCCCAAGACCAGCAAGAGCCCTGCCCCACAATCTGCAGCCTCCTGCACAAGAAGACACTGGAGGAGGGGGAGGGTGGTCTCAAATAGTGGTCCCTCAGTTCCAGGACATCATGGTTCTACAGAGGAGGAACTGGCCAAGATTATATCTGGAGAAAGGAAATTGGCAAAAGTATAGTACATCTGTGGCCCCTTGAGAAAATGGGCCAGTTCCTCTCTAAAGCCTAGCAGGCTGTCCTCACAGATGACATTATCTGGGGCTGCTGTGGTGCCTACATCTTTCAGTGTTGGCCACTGGGAGCAACAAGAGGGAATAGGAGGAGGAGGAAAGGGATCAGGGCACACATTCCCTACTAAGGAGCTCCACCAGATGCCCCTAGTTCAGCTGCAGATCCAGCCGGATTCTGAATTCTGTGACCTCTCTTGCCTCCCTGGGCCATGATATGGCTCCTTAATTCCTATCCTACTCCTGGGTGCTTCATTCTATTAATCATTTAAGGAAGGTAGTGTATCAGTAGTGGAGTGATTTTTTCTGGCCAGCACTGTTAAGTTCTCTCTGTGCACTTTCTCAATCAGCTTCACACTGACTATCTGAACCATTCTCATCCCCACCTAAAAGCCAAGGACCCCAGGTGTGGAGACATTGAACAAATCACCAGACCATGAACATGTCAGTGTGTCATGTCTGCGGTTTGTGATGGGTCACACACGTGGGTGGGAATTTCCGAAATACTTTTTCAGTTCCACCACATAAAGTGTCCTTTCCTGGTTGCAGGACAGCAGAAGCTATAACCCCAGGCCTAGCAAAGATTCTAATCTTAGCATCAAAGAGCATAAAAAGCTCCACAGAGAAAAGAAACAGAATCTAAGGGGACACACATAGCTTGGGAAGTTGGAGGCACATAAATGCAGATACCAATCTTTAGCTGTATGAATTGCTAAAATCATCCTGGTGGTCATCTAAATCAGCTGAAGCCCTTAAAACAAAGCCCATCTTTCCCAAGACCACCTTCCCATTCTTCTCCAACTTAGCCTAAGACATAATTTATTTCCACCCTTACCTCTGCCTGAAGGAAGACTCCAATTAGCTCCCTCAGGTATATCTAAATATCCCCTCCAAACTCCACCGCTGGCAAAGGCCATAAAAGCCTCAGCCTCCCTTTGTTACAACTGAGCCTAGAGACCTTCCCCTGGGCCTGGGGGGATTCAAACTCTGGGCTGTGCAGCCTCTGAGGCAGTTCTCTCAAACCTCCATTACAGTGTGAGCTAGACCTTCATTTACAGATACAGGTAATCAACAGCGGAAATACAGTCATTCAAGCCAAGTGCAGAGGGGAGGGGAAGGCTGGCAGACAGACCCTGATAGGTTCTGGCCCCACTACAAATTTCTGAATTATTATGGTGGTCATTAGATGATATGACCAAAGCCTTTAAAACAACAACTTATCTTCCCAGAGGCCACCTTCTCCCATGATCTCCAACCCAGCCCAAGGTGCAAGCCCTTTTCACCTTTCCCACCACCTCAGGGGAAACTCCAATCAGCTCCTCAGATAGTTCTAAACATCTCCTCAAACTCCACCCCTATCAAAAGTCCATAAAAACCTCAGCTTTGTTTTAGGCCAGAGGATCTACCTGCCCCAACTGCCCTCGATCCTCTCTGTATCTTTGGAGTCAATAAAGGCTTCTTTTATATTGTCTATCTCTTTACTGCGCTGCCAAAAACCTGTCTGACCCGACTGCAACCAAGGCAGGCCAGTGAAGCAGACCAAATGCAAGAAGTGGTATGACAGAGCCATGTACTCCAACCATTCCTACTGCACCCCAATATTTCTGCCCTCTGGCAGTTAGGCAGGGCCCATGACTGGTGCTCACCTCCCCTTCATCCCCAGGATGCACAACTCCATTGCTTTCTCAGCACCCTTGTTTCCAGTCTTGAACCATCACCCATGAATGCACCACAAAGTTAATTTAATGAGACCAGATGCTAGAATTGATTGAATATTAGACTGCAAGAGGAACGAGCAAGGCAGAGTGCATCCTAGGTGCATACTGAATCACATGGGAGAGATTTATTATGACTCAAGGGGTTTGGAAGTCACCAATATAGAGATGGTTGAGTGCAGTCACACCCAGGAAGGTTAAAGACCCAGTATCTAGGGCTCTGATCTTAACCCTTTGACTTCAACACAGTTTCTAAAGCACCTGAGCCTTCATTTTGAAGAAATAGAAAGAAGAAAAATACTCTTCATACTTGAAGAGTAGAAAATAACGTAAGACTGAATCTTGGGATTGTTGGGAAGACAGAGTAAAGCAGAAAGTAATTTGTTAAATAGGAAACATCTTTCAAATGTTGATAGTTGTTACATTAAATTAATGATCTGCATGTTTGGAACCTTGATTCTAGAATGCAAAGCTTCATCCTCCCTAGAAGGAATTCTGGCATTATTGAAAGGAGAACCGGGGCCCCTGGCATGCTCCTTCTTCATCCACAGAATGAAAGATTTCTTCTGGTTTATAACAAAAGGCTTCAGAGAATATCTCTCTGTCCATTTAGGAAAGCAAACAATAACATTAAACCCTAGAATCAAATTTCCCAATTGCCATATGTGCATAGCAACTGTGCCGGTTACAAATAGCAATACCCAGATCGCAGATCAGTGCTTGTTAAAGTGCCCACTGCAATGTTTTGCTCATCTTCTTGTGCTTCCCGGCTGCATGTACGGGCAGAACCAGGGAGTCAATATCATTATCTGTCACAGTCACTCACCGCACTGACGGTTCCTCTTGCACTCCAGAGCAACTCAACACAGTGGAACAAATACTCCTGAGATGCAAGTCCTGGACTACTGAAGGATCATAAGGCAAGACAGCAAGTCTCACCACCTTCAGCACATGAGGTCACATCAACATGCCTGCCCCTCTAGTGGACTAGGACAGTGGCTCCCCCTGCTTCCAGATCCAAATCACTTTCAGCCTCCTGACAGAAAAATGCAGTGCTCACTGTCCGGCAGGAAAACCTGGCATGGCAAGAAACAACTCTGCCTTGCTGTGCAACCTCAGCATCCAGGACTCCAAGACCTAGATGGGAAGGAAGTAGGAGGAGATGTTCACGTATTTGTTGAATATCACCTGAAATGTCTAGTTCCTGGCCCCTTCTTCTCTGGTACTGTTTCTGTCGAGGACCATTCTATAAAATTTTGAGGGAAAAAACAATTTCATAATTAGATTGAGATTAGGGCTTGTCCAGCATTTGTATGCAGGAACATAATTCCCTGTGCCTCTGGCCACAGTGGAGGCTTCAGTGGTGCCCTGATGCTGTGATGCCCGGGCAAGACTGAATCGGCTAAAGACTTCCTTGTTCCTTGAGAATCCAGTAATAATGAAACAGTTTCCCTTGATGAAAGGACAAACTCCACGACCTGTCCCCCCTCTCCCTGGTCCTTAGCAACATAAAGATCTGCATCAGCATAAACCCACCACCGCCCTCTGAGTCATCAGATCATTGTACGCACCCAATAAATAACAGCTGGCTTGGGAGTGTCTTTGTTTTTGCCCATTCTCGGCCACCGACTTCCAAGCCCCCTGCCATGCATTACTAAATTTGTCTGTTTCTTATTACATCCTTTCACCGTACCCCTCAGGCAGCTGGGGATCTTGGCCAGGTCACCCATAGTTCTCTTGTCTGTTTTCTGGCTCTGTCTGACTGCCTATAATATTTCTATTTCATTTAGCTGCCTACAACAAAACAAGGCCTCTCCTCCCTTAATTTGTGGGTGCTGTATATTTGCATCTCAGGACAAGAAAACTAATACAGCTCCTTGTCCACAGATCCACCACCCCAGACATCTCAGATTCCATTCCTCTAGTCCCGACATCCTCTCAGTGACAGCAGCAGCAGGTCCACGTCATTTCAACCCCACCCTACTCGCAGCTCTAAGACTCACCTTACTCCACTCCAGCCTCCACGGTGTCCATGAGAAACTTCCAAAACCACAAGTCCAACAGTGTCACCCTACGCTAGGTTTCTATAGGCTGCCCAACCCCACAGTGTGAACATGTGTGCACACATACACACTCCACAGCACCACAAGCTGTCCAAACTGGGGACACAACATGGCTCACACTTCCTTGTTGCTCTTTCTGTCCAGACTGTCCAAGGTCTATCTGGTGACTTCCTTTTAATTTCTGCAAGTCCAGCTCCAACATCAGTGCTTTAGCAAAATCTCCCTAACATCTCCCCTAATAAATAGATTTGACCAGACAGGCGAGCTAGCTCAGCAATCTATGTGCCTGCCTGGCAAGCACAAGGACCTGGGTTCAATCCCAGGTACTGCATATGCATCATGCCAGCCACTGAAATCAGGCATGGTGGCACATGCCTATAAACCCAGCCCTAGAATGGCTGAAAACAGGCAGATCACTATGAGTCCAAGCTGGGTAGTGAGACCTTGTACCAAATACATAAATAAAAATATAATAATAATTAATAATTTTGACCAACATCTTCTTTCTTGGTACTCACATAATTCCTTCAACATATTTATAAATAGCTCTACATTATTACAGTTACTTGTTCTAGTTTTCTTCTTTACTATGAGTACCCTGGGCATAAAATATGTTTTATTATATTTGTTGAAATCTCAACATCTCACATAGCACATTTGACATAATAGATGTTCATTCCACATCCACTGAGGAAGTCATTGAATATTTACTACTATGGGATGAACTGTATTACCCTAAAATTCACAGGCTTCCAGGTGTGGTGGCGCATGCCTATAATCCCAGCAGTAGGGAGGCTGAGGCAGGAGGATCACTGGAAGTTCACTTCCAGCCTGGACTACATAGTAAGCTCAAAGTCATCATGAACAGCATAGTGAGACCCTATCTCAAAAAGACAATTAGCTAATGAATGAATTATCTATTATGGGCAGTATGGGCAGTGTGACAGTTATCCAAGAGAGGGTAGTTGGTTAAATTAAAGGATCAAAACCAGCTCAACAATGCTGGGCCATGTCACACACTTTCCTCAGGTGTCTCTGCCTCGGCTGGCCTCCCAGGGAGGCCTTCTCGCTGGTCAGCTCCAGGCGCTCACACTTTTGCTGTGAATCCACAGAAACCGTCCTGCCTGGATGCAAAGGAGCACAGCCCAACTCAGTGAGTTAAAAGGAAAGAGGGTGCCGCTGCACGAGCCTTCACATGGGCACACCTACCTGGTCAAAGGCAAGTTGGGTCTTGGGACTTTCCCCGTGTCTCACTTGAAAGCATAAACCAGCACAGCTTCCAGGAATGGATGGAGAGGCAGGGGAGGGCGATTTCGATTTCATTCACCTCATCACGGATGCCCCAGCAGTTCTGAGTATGTCTCGGTGCAGGAACTTGGAGGCCAGCGTGGCTGGGCTATCGAAGGAAGCATGGATAGTCAGCCGTGGGTGAGTGAAGCACTCTCCTGTGACACCTGGAGGTCTTATGGAAGCTGTTCCCTGTGTCTTTTGACTTCACTCCAAATCTGTCTGCAGATATACACTATACACAGCTTTCGACTTTGGCAGGAAAACCATAATTTTTTTTTTTTTTTTTTTTTTTTTTTAGTACCAGTGATTGAACTAAGGATCTTGTACTTGCCAAGCAGGTATTTAAGCCACTGGCCCTGGAAAACTATAATATTTTAATATGAAATGATTCACAGCTAACATAAAACACTGTAAAACTCATCAATATGTTAAACATTGATAGGATTATGGAGTCGTCCTGCTGCACTGAGAGGCACTGCCTGAATTTCCACAGATATCCTTCTGAGTGCTCCTGGGTAACCCACAGGCATAGGTTTTCTCATAAAAATAAAATCTTGAAGAATTTTATTAAGAACTTATATTCTATTTGAATTTAAAATTCAGATGCCAAAGCCAAACCTCAAGTGCATATATGATAAGTGATTTAAAAGCACAATTTTCAAATGTTAGTCTGTTGAGGACCAGCTTGGTATGGTACAGAGCAGGCAATAATTGATACTAATAAATTGGTACAAAAATAAGTTGAGAGTCTGTCCTAAGCCTCCAGGCCTTGTGGTAAGACCTGGCTGGCTTATGGGTTGAGGCCAGCAAATAGTCTGTGAAGTTCTGGTGCCTCAAAGCAGTATCTCAGTGGTAGCCTTAGCAGACAACCAGGTTACTACCATGCTGTTCCCTTGTTTTTCCAAAATGCATTGAGCCTTAATTTTTGAACCTTGACTGCAACACCAGGCCACCCCCTCCACTTCCTAGAGCCACCAGCACAGACCCCAATCAAGCTGTACACCTAATAAGGCCAAGGACACCAGTGCTTTGTAGTTCTATCCTGCCATTGGGCTTTGACCATCCTAGTTCACTCTGTAACTAAAATATACATATTTTATCTAAGTTCTACTCTGTTCTCATACATCTGAGTAACTGATATCCGTTTGGGGGCATTATAGCCTAATTAGGGAAGGCCACCCTGAGTGGATGCCACTGGAGAGCAGAGACAAGGACAAGACATATAGTTATGAATAACAGGAATGCCCAAAGAACGGTATATGTATTTACCAATGTGAGTAAGTTTTCAACCAGGATTAAAAATGGAGCAAGATTTATCAGTTGAGGAGCAATATTATAGCCAGTTGCTTCATCCCTTGCTAAAGAAAATGAACATTACAGTTCCAGACAGTAGCCTGACTAACATGTTACAAGACATTGTTAAATTTAATCCTTGGTTCCCTCAATCAGGAGTCAATTTTAGAAATTGGGGCCCAGTAGGAGGCTCACTACAGCCCACCCCACAGCATGTCATTTATCTCCCCCAGACAATCATTTCCTGGAGCCCTTACAGCTTAAACAAGTAGCTCATGCTGCTCTAAAAACTCAAAAAAGATGCAGCTTCTGAAGAGAAAGCAAAATTAGCTGAACACTTCTTAGCTATAGGCACTTCCTTATCAGTTAGGAAATCTACAGACCAATACAGGGTCAAAAACTGCATGGAAGAGGAGGACAGGCGCCCACCTCCTCCACCCAAAGGTCCTGTGTCACTGTCCAAAGTGGCTGCTACTCATTGTCAAAGAGTTTTATAAAACATAGTGGCCAGGGAGAAAGTTTTGACATATCTGTATGCTTCCCTGTAGGAAATACTAGGATCTCAACAAACCCAATCAGAATATTAATGTGCATGTTTCCTTTCAACTCAAAATTTTGAAAGACCTAAAATAAATTGTTGGGAACAATGGGCTCCAAAGTCCACTTACAATTGGTCTATTACAAGATGTATTACAGACAGTGTACATGTAGACCTGAGAAGAGTGCTTCTGGTTTTATCATAGCATGAAAAAGTAATAAGCATTTGGTAGAAACTGTACTTCAAACTTTGAATTATTGTCTTTTCCAAAGCTTGCAATAAATAACCATTCTGGTTTTTAAAGAAAGAAAATGTCATACAGACTTATCTGTTGGTTCTTTTTGAGCTGCATCATTTGGCTACAACATGTTTGTTGCCTGCTCAATTTTTACATTTTGGGGTTTAAGTGCACTCCTTGGTTATGGAATAAGTTGAGAAGAACTGTACAAAAGATAATCCTGAAATTACGCTGCATACGCTCTCTGATACGGGTAACTTTGCACATACACATGCTTGAGCTTGCTCTCCTGCAGTACTTTATTGGCTGAAATTCTTGGCCAAACTGGGGTGAAAGTCCCAGATGATGCAGCTCTAGCACACTTTTACTCAAATCTTCCAAGGTCCTATTGAACTATGCACTCAATTTATGGCTCGCTTACAAGAGGTTGTAAAAAGATAAATCTCTAACATCCAAGCCCAGGATATCTTGGTTCTACAGTTATGTTATGAGCATGTGAACTACAGTTGCCAACAAGCTATTAACCAACCAAGTCAGTTCATGCTACTGGGGCATATGTTAAAGTGTGCCAAAATACTGAATTGCCTACTTATAATTTCAATTTGATGGCATAAGCTATTTCCTGCCAAGTTCAAAGCAATAAGGAAATACTCTTGGTACAAACCAAGTTAAGAAACAAGTTTTCATATGACTATGACAATTCATTTTTGCTCCTCTCATGATATATTAAATGTATTCGTGCCATCTGGATGTACAGGCCTTACAAAACGTAAAACTAGGATTACTTATAGTTGTAACCTTTTTCTTTTAGATTTAGATGTCTACCCTTCTCTTGTGCACCATCTACTTAAGGTAAGAGATATACATTAAATCAACATGGGGCCGGGGAGATAGCTCAGTGGAATAAGCACTTCCCTGGCAAGCGCAAGGGCCTGAGTTCAATTCCCAGTTCCAAAAATAAATAAATAAATAAATAAATAAGAGATTACCAGTTAAATAATAGCCTTTAAAAAACATGCATAGGGAGACCCAGTCCTAGCCCAGGTCCAGTGAGTGTGTGGAGAGCTTCCTGCTACCTTGCGCCGGTGGGACCAGTCCCAGCCCAGGCGCAGCGTGGGCCGGACCCTCTCCTACCCCCTTGGGCTGCTACCCACCACTCCATAGCACCTCCCTGAGCCCGCCCGCCAAGTAGGAATTTCTGCCGCATTCTGGGGAACCCCCAGACCCAGTCCTAGCCCAGGTCTGGTGAGTGTGTGGAAGAGCTTCCCCTTCCCCCTACTTCACCTTGCACCCTCCAGGCACAGCTCAGGCATGACATACACGCCTGGGGTGTAACCCTGCAGCTGCAATCCCTGCAGAGAGTGTAGAGGATAGACCCACCCAGCTAGTCCAGGAGCAGAACATCTTGCCACACGGGCACAACAGGTTCACCCTCAAGGGCAGCAGCGGGAAGGAGCTGAGCACAGCAGCCATACCCAAGCCAGACACAGCTGGATAAGTCCAAACTTTGTAGAGCTGCACCTGAACTTCAGTAAGTGCGAAGGTTATAACTACAGCAAAGATCTACAACAAAGGTCAGAAGACAGTGCTACACAAAATGACGAGAAGGAACAAAATGCAACCTTAG